GGTTAGGACTTTGCACTTCCACTGCAGGTAGTACAGACTCCATCCCTGGTTGGAGACCTAAGATGCCACAAATTGCAAATCACAGGTTGCATCCCTTCCTCCCTGCCAAAAGGGGTGGGGGGTTGGGAAGGAGAACTAGTAAAAATAAAAAATATAAAGAAAATTTTAAATCCAAAATAAAAATGGCTAACCAAGAGAGATATCTATTTTTTTCTCCTGGTCAAGATAACTGGTGTTGGTTATGTGGAAAGGCCTGAAATTCCATGGGCTGTTTTGACCTCCTTGACCCTCACAGGGCGCCCAAGACTTCAGTGTGAACTTCTCCACTTTTGTCCCCACCCCAACCACCTGACTCATTTCTCTATCAGCCAGAGCAGCCGCCCTCCATCTGGCCCTCGACCTAATGCGTTTTACCTCTCTGGCAGTCAGAGATTATTCAAACAAGCCAATCACATCCTCGGAAGGGAACCAGAGGTTACCCCACACTTTTGTCACTACCAAGGTTGTCTCCTGTAGCCCGTGCTTCTTGACTCTGCTCCTGAGTGCGCCCCCCACCTGGTGGTTCATTGTCCTCCTCCACTTCCAGCCTGTGAGTATGTGTGACCAATTAACTGATGATGAGCTCATCTATCCTGTTAGGTATCATGTGCTGGGCTATCATGTGTTTGTACTATTTAGGGCATGTGATCCCTCTTTCTCCAACAGGGCCGATCGGAGGGGATTAAAACTTGGGTCGGTTCATGGACCGCACAGTCTTCCATGGTATGTGAGATCCAGTTTCCTTCTACAATATCTTGTTGCTCCACAATTCAAGGCTTCTAGTCCCAAGGCAGAGTCATGGCCCCAGATAGCTGATGGCGTTCCAGCCATCACGTCTATGTTCCATCAGAAAATAAGGCACCCTCCTTTCCTCAAAGTTGTACATATCACTTCTGCTCACATAGTCATATGGCCATGTCTAGGGCTTCCCAGGTGGTGGCAGTGGTAAATAATCCATCTGCTACTGCAGGAGATGCAAGGGACACGGGTTTGATCCCGGGTTGGGAAGATCCCGTGGAGTAGGAAATGGCCACCCACTCCAGTATTCTTGCCTGGAAAATCCTGTGGACAGAGGAGCCTGGCTGACTGCAGTCCATGGGGCCGCAAAGTCAGACACGACTGAGTACCATACAACAGCAAGGGCTTGTCTACCTGCAAGGGAACCTGGGAAATGTAGTATTTTATTCCGGGCAGCCACAAGGCGATTGGGTCCAGATCTTGAGGGGCTTATCAATCAGATGAAGGCTGATTGAGGAGTTTGGCCTTAGCCTGTGAGTCAAGACTGGATGATATTAGAGGATGAGGAGGGGCAGGTCCAAGGTTAGCCTTGGGATCATTAACTGGTACTGAGTTAAGACCCCTCCTTTCCTTTTCTCATTGGGAAACCACATTTTCCATCAGTTTCATACTCCCTCCCACATCAACTCTGCCCCTTCTTCCCCTCACCCAAAATGACACCACATCAAGACTTTCCTGGTGGTCCAGTGCCTAAGATTCTATGCTCCCAGTGCAGGGGGCCAGGGTTCAATCCCTGGCTGGGGAACTTGATCCCACATGCCACAACTAAAGGATCCTGTATGCTGCAACTAGAGATCTCGAGTACTGCCCCTGAGACCTGGCACAGCCTGATAATAATACATAAAATTTAAAAAAAAAAAACATTGAACAACAAAATGAGATCAGATTTCTTCCCTAGCTCCCAAGGTGTTCCTGCAACTATCTTTTGTACCCCTGATTCCACAGTCCTCTTACTCTGAGATCAGAGCCCCAGGAAAACCAAGAGACAACACCCCCTCCTCATGCAAACATCCCCACACATACAGACACAATCCTACATGCGTTTTGATTCTGCCAGGCTCCACATTCGTCGACCATACTCCTTTGCCACCCCTATAGAACTCCCTCTCGGGCAGGGCAGAGCTGGGATGGGCTGAACCGGGCTAGGCACAGCACAGTGCAGAGAAGGGGGTTTGCTGCAGGAAGATAAGGCCTGTGGGTCATTTACAAGAGTGGTGGTTATGTCCCCCACCAATCGTCACATTCCATCTGTCTAGCCACAGGGACGGATTCCAGATGGACATGTGACCAATGCTAGGCCAGTGACGTGTAGCCTTGGGGCTTTCAGCTGGACGAAAGCTGGGGCTATCTTGGCAGCACACAGAGGAGCCTGCTGGTAGAGCTGAGAGGTGGAGAGAGTTTCCCTACTGAAGATGTCATCTGAGCCCCTGGAACCAGCTATGCCTGAAGGACACCCCCTCAACATTTCTATTCATGAGTTAATAAGTACCCTGGTTTGTATTAGTTAGTTTGGCTTGATTCTCTATTCCTTTGCATCTTTAAGAGTTTCCTGCCAGAAACTCACATATTAATAGTTTGGTTCTCATTGTCACATCCCTGTGGCTAGGATCAGTTCAGTAGTTCTTCAACTCCATGGGGGCTTTAATTTACTCTATTACTCTCTAATTACTCTCTTATGGAGACTAAGAAGCTGCTACACAACGTCCAAGCTAGTGCTTGTCAGTCCCACATGGAGAACTTGGAGGCCTGTCGTTCTCTTCTGGTCAAAGCTAAGTCCTGTCTTCTGTCCTAGCCCTGAGCGTCCCATTTCCAGAGGCCACCCAGTCCTAGGAAACATGTTAAATGACTACCTCTTTGGGTCCAAGTTTCTTCTTCTGTAAAAGAGGGATTAATAATACAGACACCCTCTGTCCATCATTCTCCCACATTGTGGTCCTTTCTTCCCACCCACCTGATGCACTTCACCTCCATCACCCCATGGCTTGACGACCCCTCCCCCAAACCCTCTGCAGATGGTTCTGTCTGGGGCTTACCATGCCCTCCTCGGGCCACACCAGGAAACATCTCGTACCTCTTTATTTTAAAAAATATTTATTTATTTATATCTGGCTGCTCTGGGTCTTGTTGCCCCACCAGGGAGTTTCACTGTGTCATGTGGGGTCTCTCATGGGCCATGGGCTCTAGAGTGCTTGTGCTCAGTACTTCTGGCTCATTGGCTTTGCTGCCCCATGGCATGTGGGATCTTAGTACCCTGACCAGGGATCGAACCTGCATCCCCTGCATTGCAAGGCGGATTCTCAACCGCCAGATCACCAGGGAAGTCCCTAATATCTCTTTGGGGGTGGAACCTGCTCTACCCAAACTGCCAGGGAATTCAGGTTCCTTGGGGGTAGCCCTCAGCCAGTGACCAATGAAGGGAGTTGGAGGATCAATACCTCAGCTCTCTCACCCCTGGTGTGGGCTGACTCTGATCTCCCAGGGCTCCCTTTCGGGACTGAGCTCCAGCTGCCTGCGGGTGAAAATTTGCTTGATTATGAGAATGACCAACCATCCCAGTGTGCCCAGGACTGAGTGTTCCTGGGATGCAGGATTTTGAGAGCTAAAATTGACAAGTTCCAGGGCAAGTTGCTTACTCCAGTGATATCTCATCAATTACTAACTGCTCCCTTCCTTCCCTCTGCCACATCCCTGCTCCCCTACAGCTGCTGTCTCTGAGGCAATGGCACTAAATCTTCATCTCTATCTGTTTTGGAGAGACCCCAACCTCCATTGTGCCCTTTAAGCAGCCCATCAGCCACTCCCATCCAAGCTGAGCACTTTTGGGGCAGTTGCTTACTTATTTTCTCCCCCCACTATCTGGTTTTCATCTTGTAACAGACTCTTTTCTTAAAAATTAAATAAATAAATAAATTTTATTTATTTGGCTGCTCTAGGTCTTAGTTGTGGCATGTGAACTCTTAGTTGCGGCGCATGGGACCCAGTTTCCCGATCAGGAATCAAATGTGGGCCCCTCGCATTGGGAGCTCAGAGTCTCAGACACCAGACTGCTAGGGAAGTCCCTGTCTTAATGACAGTATTTTGAAAAAGGATCTTCTGTCATCTTCATGTTATGTGTTGGAAAGCTGAGGTTTGGGCAGGAAAATGACTTGTCTGAAATCTTGCCGTTAAGTGGCGCGTCTCAGGGCAGAGATGGGCTTCCTCAACCCTCAGCACACACTGCCGCTCTGCTGTTGAGGGCCTGGTATGTGCTGGGTGCTATCTTACCTTTGTGTTTGTTTTTTTTTTAAATTCGTGCATTTGGATTTCCCTGGTGGCTCAGTGGTAAAGAACCTGCCTGCCAATGCAGGAGATGCAGGTTCGATCCCTGGGTTGGGAAGATGCCCTGGAGAAGGAAATGGCAACCAACTCCAGTATTCTTGCCTGAAGAACCCCACGGACAGAGGAGCCTGGTGGGCTGCAGCCCGTAGGGTCACAAAGAGTCGGACATGACTGAGCAACCAAGCTCATGCACACAGTCATGCATTTATTTGGCTGCCTGGGTCTTAGCTGTGGCATGTGGGACCTAGTTACCTGACTGGTGATTGAACCTGCCCCTCTGTGTTAAGAGCACAGAGTCTTACCCACTGGACCACCAGGGGAGTCACTTCTCTCACCTCCTTCTTATGCATTATCTCATTTAATCCATACACCACTCTGAGGAGGGCAAGACCACCATTCCCCCACTTTGCAGAGTGGGAAACCAAGGCCAGGAGAGGTGGCAGAGCCCAGGTTCAAGCCCAGGCAGGCTGCCACTGAGCGCACATCCTTAACCACACGGCTGGTGCCTCAATACTTGTAATTTCCTCTTGGGCGGCGGCGGCTGTGGCCATTTGGGTACAGGGGGAGTCTGGCTGCCAGTGAGTCCAGCTGGCAGAGGGGAGGAGGGGCCCAGATGGCAGGCCTGACTGGGAGCACCCCAGGCTGGTGTCTGGACTGGTAGGCTGAGCCTGGGTCTGCCCTGGCCCTTGCTCCCAGCCCCGGCTCCTTGGGGACCCTCCTGGGCCCTGAAGTGTCCTCCACTCCTCTGCACCCACCCCTACTCCTGCGGTCGGCCCAAATACCAGACAGGGCGAATCTCAGCTTTCCCCCAAGCATTCCTCGCTCCTGTGGCCCGGCCCAGGCTGGCCGAGGTTACGCAAGCCGAGCTGGGGTGGTTGGGGGAGGCGGGTGGGACTGAGGGGATGGGCTGGCCGGTCCTTACCACCCCATCCGGCGCCTGCCCGCCCTCCGCAGGGCGGGGAAAGGGTGGGCCAGCTCCCCTGAGCCCCTGGGGGAACGGGCTGGGGGGGAGGAGGGTGGTTTGTGTGAGATGGGGGGCGGTAGCGGCCACAGCACAACCTCCAGAGGTGACCGCCTGGTTTCCATTAAGGAACCCTGGTCAGCAGTTCGGGCGAGACGGCAGAGCGGGGCTGGCTATGGTAAGGTGGGGCGGGGGTGGGTCTGAGGGTGGGGCCTGCCTGCCTGCTGCACACCCCCCACGAGGCGGGGATGCTTCTGTTGCCATGGTGACCCGGTGCCCAGCCCGGGGACACCCTGACCTGTCCCTCAACCCCCAGCGACTGAGCCTATTGCTGCTGCTCCTGCTGCTGCCCGGCCTCCCACCCACCCTTGGCATGGAGGATGATGCCTCCTTTCCCCACCTGGGGGAGAGTTCCCAGCCCCCACCCCGGGCCTGCCCCCCACGCTGCTCCTGCCCCCGGCCCGACACGGTGGACTGCGACGGCCTGGACCTCCGGGTATTCCCGGACAACATCACCAGGGCTGCTCAGCACCTCTCCCTGCAGGTGGGGCCGGCGTGTGGGTGCAGGGCGGCTCCCAGGGTGGACGGGGGAGCCTGTGGAGTGCCGGGGTTCAGAGTGCGGGGTCCCCGTGCAGGGGTGAGGTGCTGGGCATGTGGGTCGTGACACGGATGGGAGTTGGTCTTGATGACCACGCAGGGGTCGGTGCAGGAGTCAGGTGAGAGGAGGTGGGGGGCACAGATGCTAAAAGTGGGAGGGGCTGAGAGCTTAGGGGTGTCGGAGGGGTCAATGTCTGCTGATTACGGGGTTGCTTGAGGTCAAGGGTAATGAGGCATCCGGGGTCAATTGTAGCGGGGCCAGTGTCTTTTGTTACGGGGTTGTTACGAAGTAATGCCTTTGGGATCAAGTACAGGGTGAAGGTTCAGTGGTAAAGAACCCTCCTGCCAAGCAGGAGACAGGAGTTAAATCCCTGAGTCAGGAAGATTCCCTGGAGGAGGGCATGGGCAAGCTACTCCAATATTCTTGCCTGGAGAAGCCCATGGACAGAGGAGCCTGGTGGCCTACAGTCCATGGGGTCACAAAAAAGTCGGATTTGGCTGAGCGACTCAACAACAAACAGGGTGAAGGGGCGTCGGAGCTTCCTGCTTAGGCTGATGGGAAGCTGAGAAGCAGGGTGTGGGGCCACTTGTTGGGGGCCCAGGGTCACAGGGGTCAGGGCGTGAATGCCGCCCCCCACCCCGGCCTGCCCTGCAGAACAACCAGCTCCAGGAGCTCCCCTACAACGAGCTGTCACGTCTCAGCGGACTGCGGACCCTCAACCTCCACAACAACCTCATCTCCTCTGAAGGTGAGTCGGGGGACGACGGGAGGAGGCCCCTCCAGAGCCCGGTCCCGACTGCCCTCTCTTTCCCCAGCTGGGTCTGTGGGCAGCTCTGCGGCAGTTCCCAGAACTGCCCTTTGCTGAGCAGGATGGAAACTCAGGGGGTGGGGGGCGGGGGCTGTGGCTTCTGAGGACACGAGGGGGCGGGGCCGGAGGAGCCTCTGCCAGCCTCCAGGCCGGAGGGGAACACAGGCTGCCCCCTGCACTCGCCCCCCACTAGGAGGGTCCCCTCACTGCCCACCTCACGCACAGGCCTGCCCGACGAGGCCTTCGAATCGCTGACACAGCTGCAGCACATCTACGTGGCCCACAACAAGGTGAGTGCCCCGCCGCGCCCCACCCCGCCCCAGGCCGGGCCGGCAGGGGCGCAGCCGGCTGGGGTCACGCAGCACTGAGTGGAGGTGGGCGGCAGGCGGGGAGGCGCAGGACGGGCGTGCCACCAGGCCCACTGCGGCTGTGCCCCCGCAGCTCTCTGTGGCCCCCCAGTTTCTGCCCCGCTCCCTCCGGGTTGCTGATCTGGCTGCCAACGAAGTGACTGAGATCTTCCCGCTCACGTTCGGGGAGAAGCCAGCGCTCAGGTATAGCCCCTGGCCCAGCCCAGGCCCCACTGGGTCTTGAGTAGGCCTGGGGTCACTCTGCACCCTGGGGTCTGACTGGGGTCATGAGCCAACCCTGGGGAGGCTCTGGGTGGCGGTGGAGATACAGCCCAGATGCTCTGTCCGGAGAATTTCAGACTGTAGAGTGCACACACTCACACATAACACTCAACACACACACTCACACATAACACTCAACACACACACTCAGATACATACACCCACACAGTCACACACACACCCACCCACTCACACACAATACACAACACACACACATACACCCACACTCACACATACACTCAAACTCACACGTATGCTCAACACACCTTCACTCACACACACACACTCAGTCACACCCACTCATCCACACAAATCCCACTCACACACACACGCATCACCACACACACCCACCCACACAAATCACACCCACACAACTCCCACACTCACACACACACACACACAGATACATACACCCACACATTCACTCACACCCACCCACCCACTCACACACACCATACATAACACACACACTCACATTCACACATGCTCACACTCAAACTCACATGTATGCTCAACATACATTCACTCACACACACTCGTCACACACACCCACACAAATCACAACCACAACTCACACACACACTCAGATACATACACCCACCCACCCACTCACACCCACCCACTCACACACACCATAAACACACACATACACTCACATTCACATATACTCACACTTGAACTCACACGTATGCTCAACACACATACTCAGTCACACTCATAGTCCCATCCACCCACACAAATCACACCCACACACACTCAGATACATACACCCACACAGTCACACACACACATTCACTCACACCCACCCACCCACTCACACACATACCATACACAACACACACACCCACATTCACACATACTTACACTCAAAACTCACACATATGCTCAACACACCTTCACTCACTCACACACATACTCAGTCACACCCACTCCCCCACACACTCACTCTCACACACACACACACACTCAGATACATACACCCACACATTCACACAGGCATTCACACACACCCACACACCCACCCACTCACACACACACCATATACTCAACACACACACACCCACATTCACACTCAAACTCACACATATGCTCAACACACAGTCACACACATACACTCATAATCCCACCCACCCACCCACACAAATCACACCCACACACACACTCTGACACACACAGATATACCCCCCCACACACACTCATTCACTCACACCCACCCACCCTCACACACACCATACACAACACACTCACACCCATACACCCACATTCACACATACTCACACTCAAACTCACATGTATGCTCAACACACATTCACTCACACACATATACTCATAGTCACATCCACACACACACACTGACACACACTCTGATACGCACACACTGACACACATGCACACACACACATGCACTCACACACATACACACACACACTGAAGCCTGCCCTGAGCTGGGGCACTGGGTGGTGGGGAGGCTGGGGCCGGGCTGGTGGCAGGAGCCTGGCTCCCCTCAGGTCCGTGTACCTCCACAACAACCAGCTGAGCAACGCCGGCCTGCCCCCTGACGCCTTCCGCGGCTCCGAGGCGGTGGCCACCCTCAGTCTCTCCAACAACCAGCTCAGCTACGTGCCGCCCAGCCTGCCGCCCTCGCTGGAGCGGCTCCACCTGCAGGTGCCCATCCTCCGCTGACTGCCCTCATGTCCCCACGCCCCTCGGGGCCCCTGCACCTGTCCTGGGGTACCCCTTGTCATCCCAGCAGTCAAAAGTGCCTTTGGGTCCTTTCCTCCGGCATGGGTAGCTCACAGGCTCTCTCTGAGCAGTCCTGCTCAAAAGAACACCTTGTCCCTTACTCAGGAGCCCTCTGCGGCTCCCTATTGCCCTCTGCCCTGGACCCTCAGTCTCATTCCCGCCTCCCTCCCCAGAACAACCTCATCTCCAAGGTGCCCCGAGGAGCCCTGAGCCGCCAGACCCACCTCCGTGAGCTTTACCTTCAGCACAACCAGCTGACAGACAGTGGCCTGGATGCTACCACGTTCAGGTGGGGCCTGGGACAGGGGCTTAGAGGGGTGTAGGCTTGTGCTGGCAGGAGGGCCTGAGGACTTAGAATCTGGGAGTCCCAGCCCTCCATTTCACCACCACCCCTTTATGGCCAATTCAAGGTCTCATTTGGTGTGTGCCTACCGTGTACCAGGCTTGGCCAAGCACCTTGCCTCCAACCGCCTGGTGCCTCAGTCTTATTACCCAACATCACAGCTGCCACATGAAGCTCTCAGACCCAGAACTCTGACCTAGTCACCCCAGACTTACTTCCTGCCCAGATCTCTCAGCTCATCACCCCCAAACTGAAATCTCCACCTTACATCTCTCGGGTGTGTGCTTGCATGCTCGGTCATGTCTGACTCTTCACAACCCCGTGGACTGTAGCTCACCAGGCTTCTTTGTCCATGGGATCTCCCAGACAAGAATACTGAAGTAGGTTGCCATTTCCTTCTCCAGGGGATCTTGCTGACCCAGAGATTGAATCTGCATCTCCTCCCCTGGAAGGCAGATTCTTGACCACTGAGCTACCTGGAAAGCCCAGACATTTCTCAGGACAGCTCAACTCCCCCCACCCCAACCTGCCCTGCAGTATCCATCTGGGGCCTTCACTCTGGATGCCCAATCTGATGCCACCTTTCTCTCTCCTGCCAGCAAGCTGCACCGCCTGGAGTACCTGGACCTGTCCCACAACCAGCTGGCTGAGGTGCCCGCTGGCCTGCCCCGCACCCTGGCCGTGCTGCATTTGGGGCGCAATCGCATCCGCTGGGTGGAGGCGGCCCGGCTGGGCGGCCTGCGGGGCCTGCGCTACCTGCTACTGCAGCACAACCAGCTGGGGGCCACGGGGCTGCCAGCTGGAGCGCTGCGGCCGCTGCGGGGCCTGCACACGCTGCACCTCTATGGCAACAGGCTGGACCGAGTGCCCCAGGCGCTGCCCCGCCGCCTGCGGGCCCTGGTGCTGCCCTACAACCGCGTGGCCGCGCTGGGCGCCCGTGACCTGGCCTCCACGCCTCGATTGGCTGAGCTCAACCTGGCCTACAACTGCCTGGCCAGCGCCCGCGTGCACCTCCGGGCCTTCCGCCGGCTGCGGGCCCTGCGCAGCCTCGACCTGGCTGGCAACCAACTGACCCAGCTGCCCTCCGGCCTGCCCGCTGGCCTGCACACCCTTCGGCTGCAGCGCAACCAGCTGCGGGCCCTCGAGCCAGAGCCGCTGGCTGGCCTGCACCAGCTCCAGGAGCTCAGTCTGGCACATAACCGCCTGCGTGTGGGTGACATCGGGCCTGGCACCTGGCATGAGCTGCAAGCCCTGCAGGTCAGGGGCAGGCTGGTTGGCCATACTATCCCCAGGGCAGCTCCTTCACCCTTCTGCTCCTCCCCTGGAAAGCCTTGAGACACTAGAAAGAGAGCCCTCACTGAGTGTAGGCCAGCCCTGAGAAGCCATGCCCTCCTCCAGGGGATCTTCCAGACCCAGGGATGGAACCCGGGTCTCCTGCATTGCAGGCCAATTCTTACTGCCTGAGCCACCAGGGAAGAATGGGGTTGGCCCAAAAGTTCATTGGGCTTTTCCATAACATGTTACGGCAAAACCCGAACGAACTTTTGGGTCAACCCAGTACTGTCTTTGTGAGTGATCAACTGCATCAGTGGCTCCCACGGCAGGGACCGTCTGGGCCCCCATCACCTAGAATGAGGCCTGCCCCAGAAGGGACTCAGTTTACCTCTGTGGAAGGCAGGACTTGGCAGCCATGAAGTAGGTGGGGGGAGGGGGCAGAAGAACCAGGCTGGGTGTACATGAGGGCCTGGGAGGGGAGCAGGTTGGGGCTTGGCTGAACGGGTGGCCCAGGGCCTGGGGCCACCGCGGCACCATCTCTGCTTGCCTGCCCAGGTGCTGGACCTCAGCCACAATGAGCTGTCCTTCGTGCCCCCTGACCTACCCGAGGCCCTGGAGGAGCTGCACCTGCAGGGCAACCGCATCGGCCATGTGGGCCCTGAAGCCTTTCTCAGCACACCACGCCTGCGTGCCCTCTTCCTCAGGTACCCTGCGGGTGGCGGGGTTAGGCAACTCCAGGTAGACAGGAGAGGACTGTAAGGGGTGTAAGCGGGCCCAGGTGGGCCTCTCCCCTGGAACGTGCCCTCTCTTGGTCCGTCTCTTGGTCCAGGGCCAACAGGCTTCACATGACCAGCATCGCACCTGAGGCCTTCCTGGGCCTCCTGCACCTACGCGTAGTGGACACGACGGGGAACCCCGAGCCAGTCTTGGTCCGCCTGCCGCCCACAGCCCCACGTCGGCCACGGGCAGCGGGCCCCTGAGCCTAGAGGAGCCCGGCAGAGCAGCCCAGGCCCCTGGGGCTCTGCTGGGCTATGGACTAAGGAGACAGCGCCCACCCAGGGCCTCGACCTGGCTCTCCTGGGCCTGAAGGGCTGGGCCTGCCCATCCTGTGCTGGCGGGGCTACTGGGACGGGCCACCACCCAGCACAAGGGAGCCCAGGAGACGGGAGCAGGCCACTCACACACTGGGCGAACAGGCAACTCGGGCCCTGCTGGACACTCCCCCACTGCCTGTGCAGATGGACAGAGCAACAATAAAGCCTAGCTCCGGCCTTCCCTGTGGTCAAGAGTCCACGCTTCCACTGCAGGAGGTGTGGGTTCAATCCTTGGTTGGGGAACTAAGATCCTGCATGCCTTGCAGCGTGACCAAAAAACAAACAGAAAAACCCCCCTAGCCCTTTCAAGTGCTCACCGCAGACCAGGTACCCTTCCACTTGTGGCAGGGGCTCTCATCATGCCGTATCCAGCAGCGGAAGTTGAAGCTCTGGGATGCTAAGTGGGTCCAGCAGTCTAGTCCAGGTCCTGGGGCCCACGAGCGGCAGGGCTGCCTTGAAAGGCCCTGAGATGCACATGGGTCACCAGGCACCACCATGTAGGACCTGACCTTGTGTGTAAACCCAGATATACCCAAGGCCACCAGCTGGAGAGACACACACAGATGCCCTCAGGTGCACTACAGACTCCAAGGACACACACATGGGCCTTCACCCACATCCCTGCAAAGTGTGCGCATAGACCATGTCCTTCATGGGCACGCTCCCAGCCAGCCTGCTCCTCTCGCAGGCACCTCTTCATCAGCACCCTGGGGTGGGGCAGTGGGGGAGACCCAGCCCAGGCACTGGGGGCAGGAACAAGAAACAAGGGCAGGACAGAGTGAGCCGGGTGTGGCCCTGGCTGTTTATTCCATGTGTCAGCCCTGGGGGCCCAGCTGGGCCAGGGCAACCCTCTGGGGAGCCTGGCTGACCCTGGCTGGCCTCAGCGGTTTCTTTGGGGTGTGGGTGGACATCAGGGTTAAGGCTGGGGAGGGACAGGAAGTAAAGTGCTTGCAAGGGCCCTGGGGGCTTGGTCCCAGCCACCCTCCCGCTTTGGAGGCTGGCAAGGGGCTGTGCACCCCTGGGCTGTGCAAACGGACTTTCCGGGGCCCACCCAGCTGGGCCTGGGCGAGGGGCACACACAGGCTGGCAGACCCTGCCGACGCCCCCTGCTGGGGAGGCTCCAGCAGGGCCAGGTGGGCCCAGTGGGGGATGTGTCCGGCCAGAGTTGACTGTCCACTGATTGTCTGCTTGTCTGGTCCGAGGCTGTGGCAGTATCGGGGCCGCAGGCCCGCTCCCAGCTCTCCGGGGGCTGCCTGTCCCGCCGGCCCTCACCGGCGGAGCCGCTGCAGCTGCGGGGAGAAGTGGCTCGGGTCAGGACGGGGGACACATTCGCCCACTCACTCTCAATGCCCAAGCTGCTCACCTCACTCTCGACCAGGTTCCGTCTATACAGTGCCTCCTTGGCGGCCTCCTAGGGGGTGAAGAAGGAGTCAGTGAGCAGCCCCTGGTGGCCCCGGCCATGCCCCCACGCCCACCTGGCTCACCCTGCTGCCGTCATTGCCCAGACGCCGGGCGGCCTCCGTGTAGAACTGTAGCTGGCGCTCCAGCTGGGCCATGTACTCTGAGGGATGGAGGTGGGGGGGACATCAGGATGGGGCCCGTGGCCTCCACCCCTCTGCCCACACCCATCCCTGAGCTCCTACCCCGCCGCATGCCCGGGCCTCCCTGCTCCAGCTGTGCCCGCTGCCACTGGCTGCGCTGCATGATGTCCTGGTACTGCTGCGCCACCTCAGGGGGCACTGGCCGCCGCGCCTGCCTGAGGGCCAGGATCTGGGGTTGGTGGAGAGGATGCAAAGGGAGCTGTGAGCGACCCGCGGACCCCCCAGTCCTGCCCCACTGAGCCTCACAGGGCGGTACCCACCTTCCGCTCCAGACGCTCTTGGTCGAAGGCCAGCACGCTGAGGCTATGCAGGGGCCGTGCTGATCTATGGGGTTGGCGAGGGGTGAGGGGCTGCAGGGAACTCCCACCCCCAACCCTGTTAACTCAACAAACACACTGGGCCCCGGGGGACAGTGGGAGACAAGCCAGGCTCCCCTCTGTGTTGCTGAATCCACAACCAGACAGGGACAATGGGTATACACTCAGGCTACTGTGATGCCAGGTGTCAGGGAGGGCTTCCTGGAGGAGGTGACGGCCAATCTGGGAATCAAAGGAGTCAGAGCTGGGCAGAGGAGCAAGGAGCAAGTGTGGCCATAGGGGTGCTCAAGGTATTGTAACACAGAGTAGCCAAGAGGCTCGTGAAAACTAAATGTAGCCATGAACCAACCGGAAGAAGTGGGGGGAAAAAGGCTGGATTATTGACAGTGGTCTGATCACAAAAGGTCTTAAAGATCAAGCTGAGGAGTTTAAACTAGATGCTCCAGAAGAGGGGCCAGGAAAGGTTTTGAAGCAGGGGAGAGACATGCTCTAATTTGTGCCTGATGATAAGTTGTCCAGGAGAGGCTGAGATAAGAAGAAGGGCATTCTCTCCAGCACAGCTGGGCCCAGTCACCTACCTGTTCCCTGCCTCCCTTGCAGGAGCAGGTATGGGAGGAGCCTTCCCTTTGGGCCCAGCAACCTGCTTCAGAGGACAGAACCAGTCTTGTAAGTCTCGGCCGCCTTGAACCAAGCCCCTCCGTCCCCCCCAGGGCTGCTGATGGGCAGGGGTCTCACTGTGGACATGGATGCTGGCACGGGGTCGATGACCAGCCACCTCTCTGTCGTGGTCTCCAACTGCTGGGCCGTCAGTGGCTCGCGAATCCGAACCATCACCTCCAGCCGCCCCCCTGTGGGCCTGCGACCATCCAGGACCTGATGGGAGTGAGGGGAGGCTGTTAAAAAGCATGCAGTGGGGCTTCCCTGGCGGCTCAGTGGTAAAGAATCCGCCTGCCAATGCAGGAGACATGGGTTCGATCCCTGGTGCAGGAAGATCCCACATGCTGCTCAGCAACTAAGCCCGTGTGCCACAGCTATAGAGCCTGTGCTCTAAAGCCTGGGAGCTGCAACTACTGAGCCCACACACCTAAACCACTGAAGCCTGTGTGCCCTAGAGCCCGTGCACACAACAAAAGCAGCCACCGCAACGGGAAACCTGCATACCACAACCAGAGAGTGGCCCCCGTGTGCCACAACTAGAGGGAAGCCTGCGCAGCAACGAAGACCCAGCACAGCCAAAATAAATAAGTAAATAAAACTACAAAAAAAAAGCAGCAGCAGGAAGTGGCTAGAGGCTCAGGGCTGGGCTCCAGGATAACCAGAGAAATTTCCAAATTATGAGCCCCCGGGTAACACTGAGACACCAGCTGCTCTTAATGGAGCAGGGTGCAGGGGTACTCAGGGCTGGGCAGTGGGGAAGCCTGGTGTTTCTGGGGAGGGGCTGTGCCGGCAGAGAGGACCCCTGGCAGGCTCAGGGCAGGGAGCCTGAGCGGCACGGCTCCACCCAAGTGCTCAGACCAACGCCCCTCTCTCACCTCAAGGACCTCTCGGACCTCGCAGGCTGTCTCCAGGGCATCCAGTTTCAGCTGGGCTGTGCCCAGGACCCGGTCAGTCTTAAAGAGCCCCCTGTGTGTGAGAGGGGACAGGATGCTTGCTCCTGGGCACCTCCCCCTCCTCCGGAGCCCAGAGAGCACCTGTGGCCCCAGCTCACCCCTTGTGGACCACTTCGAACTTGATGCCTTTGGTCTGGATGGCCCTTCGGAAGCCACGGTGGCTGCGGTTGATGCAGAGCTTGAACTGCTCCTTGAACTCTGCCGGGGGAAGGAGGGAGAGAGGAGGGGCGGGTGGGATCAGGTTATGGTCTCATGGGCTTTCTGTGGGGAGGGGAGGTGGGGGACTGCTTCCTGCCAGGGCTCACCAGGGGAGTCTGTGTTTTTGATCACGCTGGTCTTGTCTTTCTGAGCTTCTTCCTGTGACCAGACAGGAGGTGAAAAAGCTCAGGGGCTGGGGCCTGCCCTTGAACCCCTGCCGGCCCCACACCCCCCAGGCCTGAGGGGGCTGGAGCGCATCCCCCCTCAGCTCCCCATGTACCACGTTGGGATAGGGGAAGTCGAACCGAACAAAGACATCCAGGTCACCAGGAGACAGCCCTGCGGGAAGACAAGGGTCAGAGTTGGGCAGACGGGTGGACCCCACAGCCCTGCCCCTTGCCTGGTGCCCCCTCACCTGGCGGTGTAGGTAAGCTGATGCCCTTCATGATGAACAGGAGCATGTCGTTGCTGCTGAGGTCAGGGAAGATCCTTCCAGGAGGGAGGGTGGGAGACAGGCACCTCAGTGCCACCATCCTGCCCACCTTCTCGGCCCGCCCCCCAGTCTCGTGAGGGTGTCTCAGGTCCCAGGCTTGAGGTTTTTTTTTTTTTCAGGCTTGAGTTTTAGAACCAGACAGACTACAATTCTCTATCGAGGTCTGCCACTGGCTACCTATTTAGTCCTTTCATCAATCTGCACGTATTTATTTGGGACCAGCTCTGCACCAGTCAGTGGCCTCACCTTTGTGGGACCGCTTTCCTTGCATAAGATTTTTGGAACCTTCTAGAAGTTTCTGGAATCTTCTAGAACTCACCAAGTGCCCTAGCTGCTGTGGGACCTTCTCTTTCTCTGACAAGGTTTTTTGAGCATCTACTATATGCCAGCCAGTGTCCTAACTGCTGAAAATACAGAGGTAAATGAGGCAGACCACACCTGTGTTCAGGGAGCCCTGGTTAGCTAAGTGAACAGATGACCCCTGAATATATAAATAAACAAAACAAAAACAACTCTGCAGAGGATTAAAACCCTGGAGAGAGTGGAGTGTGCTTGGGAGGTGCTGCTCTAGACAGAGCCATCAAGGAGCGCTTCTCAGAAGTAACATCATAGGTGACTGAATGTCAAGAAGAGGTGGCTACAGGGGCTTCCCTAACAGTCCAGTGGT